GCTCGCTGTACCTATAGGTTGTTGATGGTGGTTGGAGCTTCCTCAGGTGTACTGTCAGCAGAGCAGGTTTGGGAACTATTTGTGGAGGTGATATGAAAGTAGGTCCACCGAAATCAGTGGAGAGAGGTTTGGTGATCAAGGCTCTTACAGCCATTCCACACCCAGAGATGGACGTGGAGATCCTGGGACCAAGGACACCAGGGATATTGTATATTGTATATATATTAATATACAGACCCCCAAATAGATAGATTTTGTTCCCCACCAAAAATGTATTGGATCAAGTTTCTATCTATTTGGGGGGCCACTAGATGTATTCAATGCATTTGTGTGCATATAGGGTTTGCGCACCTGCCAAAGATTAAGTTGAGCTAGTTCTCAAAAGGTTCCATTGACAAGTAAGTTTCTACCCACCTGGTGCCACTTCCTTTGATTTAATGAATCCACCCGCTTCTTGTCACCAGCTGGATGGAACCCGTTGTAGGAGTTCAAATGCCTGCAGAGCCCAACACTGAGGTTCAGCCCCGAAGCAGCTCGGGGATTGCCAAGAGGCGACCAAGTGAGAGCAGCGGGGTCTGGTCTCGTTGTGCTTTCCCACCTTCAGGAAGAAACATTCACAATTTTGGTAAATTTCTCCATCTCCTGCTCAGAAGAAGCTTTGGGGGACTGTTTTGCTTTGCCCAAGTTTGAGGCTTTGAATCGGAGACCATCCTCTAAGCCCTCTAAGCAGAGAACCGATGGCATAGATGGAAGGAAAGAGTCCGCTGGCGTTGCAGTTGTACTGGCCTTGTCCCCAAATTCAGGACACCCCAAACCATTGGAACCAGCAGGACCACATCCTCCCCAGCCTGAGCTCTATTGGGAATTTCTGCGGGATTTGAGCGAATGGTGAGGCAGAATATGATCTTTTGATATTGATATCTTGAGTGTTGGCACTTAGGTGGTGATGCTGGAACCTCTCTATAGACTCTAGACCTTCCCTTCGATGAGACCGTTTGCTTCGCATCAACCAGGCTTGAGACCGCCCAGCCAAGAGGCCTTCGGTGGGAGTCTTTGGGCCTGGCCTGGGCCGCCACATCCCCTGTGGACGGACCCCGACCCTGACAGACCACCGGTGGGTTCGAGCATTTTCCTCATACCAAGCCACTAGCGTTTGGGGGTCCATCTATGATCCTTTGCAAACAGGGGAGTATTTCGCGTGCTATTGTGGTTGGGGTGATGGGGGTTGTTGTGGGTACGATGGTTGTGGCTGACTTATCATGCACCAGGTGGAGAGGATGCGACTCGCCAGTTGCGTATGTTGGGCGGTTGGTTCTATACGGCATGGGGTTTAGGCCTCACGTGTGAGCTCTCTTTCGAGGGGTATGGACGAAGAGTTGTGTAATGAGGAATGCGTAATGAGTTGTTTTTCTCAGGTTAAAAATAACAATCATTACTCAATCGTGTGCCATCTTAGCTTGCATTGACTTCCCCGATCCGCTTAGCTTGCATCTGTTTACCCCAAGCCGATCGCAGATCCCCAGACATGCCATCGAGATGAAACATCGCGGATCCCCAGACATGCCACGTGTGAGGGTGCTTTTGCAAGACCGATGGCCCACTGAAACACGACCGATGGAAGAAGAATCCCCCGAAGGACTTGTATATATCTACGTATATAGTATAATATGTATATATATATATACCTTATATAAATATTATGTACCATGACCTTCCCAGTGACCTTTTGAGATTCCAGAATGAGGTCACTTAGATCTTGAAAAGGTCACCTACAAATCCTGGAAAAGGTATATATCTGTACCAGGGCTCCTTGGGGTTTCTCCATAGAAGACTAATTTGGGTTGTCCATTAACCACCTCAACTTGGAGGGGCCGGTACAACTTGTGTATGCTTCGTCTACCCCCTCACAACTCCGTCCGAGCTTCCAGGCACCTTTGGCCGAGCTGCGACCTCAGACCAGGTCCATGGACCGTACGCACTCGAATCCGGTCCAAAGAGTGCTCAGGATGAATTCTAGCTATGTTGATTGCACGTCCTCATGATCTTTACTCACACGTCCTCCCCCATGATGTGATGGAATGTACACAGCCATGATAGGGGATTCTCGGGGGTGGGTCTGTGGCGGGGTAGAAATGTATCTTGCAGCGTGATTCGCACTGCTGGGATGTAGGCAGCTTGAAGTTGCTATGCAGTGGAGATGCTTGGCTACTTGTGTAAAAGCACATTCCAAATAATAAAGCACAGGATCTACCCAAAGAAGATGTAGTGTAGGCTCTTGATACAAAAAGCTCCCCATATGGAGAGGCTATCCAAATGGAGGGGTCTTTATTCATCAAGAGTCTAGAGTCTACATTACATTCTGAGACACTGTGTTCAGGCCCCTTTCGACGATCCATGCCATAATCATGCCACATATCACAAGTCCAATCAACGATCCCCGAGATGTAAATTCAAAACAGTTGGTTCCGACGAATACATTCCATCAGCATCACCCCGAAGAAATGGACCACCTCTCCAAAGTGATAGTAATTCAGTCTTCCAACTCCCATCTCACAAATTAGCTATAGCCAGGTGCTATAGCCCTTTTTTGCCTCTGAAGTGTACAGCCTTTCCGACGTTGCCTCCCAGTTCGTCGGAGACAAAGATGTAAACAAAAAGCAACACCACCAAAAACAGCCAATGCGAGAGGTTAGCTCCCCCAAAAAAGAACCGCCCAGGACCTCGGAGACACGCTTCTTTGAGCTGGGCGGATAGGCGCTCCGCAGTGGCGAGCAGCGAGCAGTGGCCGGATACGGCCTCGCCATCGCGAGGGGTTCGGTCGCTTAGGCCCCGTTGCGAGGTGATGCCTAGACTAGAGTCTAGAGTTCTTGTTAATTACCTTCGTAGCAATGCCCTTTGCTCCGTTCGTAGCGTCCTTGTTCTTAGTAGTCAGGCCAGGAGCTACGTTCATAGCGTCCTTGCTCCATTCGTAGCGATGCCCTTTGTTCTCTTTTGGGGGGATGGGACTATAGAAATGGACGTGTACCTAGATCTTCAAATGAGCAGAAATAAGTGCTCGAGGTGTAAACTGCTCGTTTTGCAAAAAAGTGCTCGAGCTGCAAATGAAGAAATGCAAAAACAGGTGCAGTTTTCCAAAGTGCGCTCGTGTGCGCTTTTTTGCGCTCGTGTGCGGAATTTTGCGCTCGAAGTGCGGATTTGAAAAAATGCGCGGGACTCACAAGAAACTGCGCGTTTTACAAAAACTGCTCGTTTATCCAGAAAGTGCTCGATTCTTAAGAAAGTGCTACGAAACGCAGGTTGAGCACTTATTTCTGCTCGTTTGAAGACCTAGGTATGTTTTGGTTTGAGTGAAACTGATCGGACACCCTTGGGTCGTGTGGTTTTCCTCACTGTTGTTTCACTTCTTTGGTGATTTTCCGTCGTCCCGTCGTGGGTACAAGAAAAGACTCCTCAACCACTGAGAGTAGCCGTCCCGCTGATCAATTTCTGTGCGCAGCCTTGAAGGCCGCTTCGTGCGCGAACAGAGAGAGCCAAGCGGGCAATTTCGCTGTAACGAATCGTTTGCGGGGTCAAAAGGGAAGCTGGGGATGAGAAGCAGGACGGTAACAGTGATGCTGGACCTCAGCAATGATCATGGCAGAGGTAGAAGTTGAGTAGATAGAAGAACCACTACAGAATGTTTGTCAGATGTTGGGTGTTATTTGTGCATGGATGTCCAATTTAGAACAACTTATCATTATGTCTATATTATTGTGTCTAATGCAATCAGGTTCATGCATGACATTTGACAACAATATGGGGATGGGTGAAAATGAAAACCAGTTTAAGCCTTTTCTGGAGGAACCTGTTCCATTTCCATTTTGATGTTCACCATCTTCAGCCCTTCAGTACTTGGTATATGCACTCCGAAGCAACTACTTGGTCTAACCCACCCAAGCTCCCTTCCCCGTGAAATTGATGAAGGCTGGGCCAAAGGGCCCAGCAGAGCGTCTCACGTCTCACCGGGCCCCGTGCGGTGGATGGGCGCAGTGCCGGTGATCCAAATGAAGGAGATGTACGTTCCCCTTTCTGCGCGAGAAAAGCCTGGTATGTATTCACATTACAATATGCATCTGTGTATATATATAATATATTTTATATATCAGATTTGATCATTAAATAGTCAGTTTCTTGCTTTCGCTTGGGTTGTCCGGCACTGAGAGTCAGCAGCAGCAATTCACGCATGACTCTTCCAAAGAGTCATGCAGGGTCAAGGTGACAGCAGGGATATGTGAAAAAATATATCGTGCGACGTGTATTGCCTCGTTCCCAGGGGCGTCACAGCACTGTCATGCTTTTGACATCTTTGTATCGCAAGCAGGGGCTTACTAAAGTATTTGATGTTGAGACTCACAGACCAGAGAAGGAGCCAAGGCAGCCAAGGAGTCTGAAAAGAACACTGGGTTATGGCAATGGCTTCAGCACTTGAACATCCAGTGGTTTTCAATGCCTTTGCTGCTGATGGTATTTCATGAAACCATGGGATTCCCTTTTAACCTCCAAGGACATGCACTGGGATCAACAAAGTGATGTTTCAACGGGCAACTGTCCCTTTCCTTGTTTCATTTCTTGATCAATACCCATCATTTGGTGAATTGGGGTGATTTGGCATGTGCCTGCACCGCGCAAGCACCTTGCGCCGCTGGCCGAGGTTTGTTTTTGACATCATTGAGTTGACCCAGAGTTGACCCGAAAACGCTGGTGCGTCTTTTCAATCTGTGCACTTCATTCCGCAGGATTTTAGTTGGAGCTCCCATTGAGAAGACAGAGAAGACAGAAGGCTCCAATCTTTATCCGCGTCACAACAGCAGGAAACGTGCCAAGAACATGGGATTCAACGAGGATAATGCACCTGTGGATGAAACCAATCATCACTCCACTCACAGACCTAGCCACGCGCACGCTGAAACTGCGCATGCAGACTTGGGTACTCATCACCGGCTAGCCAGCAGACTTCGCTCCGGGGAACTAGTCAGCTTGTGCCCACAGCTTCCAGCTTCTTTGACATCTCTGAATGCCCGCAGCCTCGCAGCTTGAGGAGCATGTCTCAGGCACGGAAATGCAGTTATGCCCCGGCTGGGAGAGTTAACCACCCAGTAGCCCTGGGTGGTGGTTGTTTGCCTTGGTCCGCTGAAGAAGGATGCTCGACTCAAGAACTCATTAAACCATGAGTGAATAGTGACAGTCAATTGCCCAATGTCAAGAGACCTGATGAAACATGCTGCATGCCTCTCAGAACAATCTGAGAAATAATTGTCCAAGGTGGGTTGGAGGGCCTTTGTTGTTTTTTGTGTTCCGTCAGATTTCCCAAGGAGGTCTCATTGGAACGGATGCTTTGGGATGCATCCTTTGAGAGCTTTGTTGCTGCTTCTTCAGGCCGGGCTGGTATTTGCAATTCGATGAAGCAAATAGCTGAGATTGAGATGGAAGACCTCTTGGAATGTTGCCATTTTCATTTCCCTGAATCTGGTTCTTTTGTGCGTGTGTATCTAGCATGTTAAACAACATCGGAAGCTAGGGTTGCTCTCTACAGTTGTTTTTTGTTTCCAAGCAGCAGGGTAAGCGTTCGTGTGCATACCTTGACTTCCACATCGGTATAAAAAGCTAGCTCGGGGCTTTGAAGTCCATCCAGGTCGCAGCATCGGCCAGCTGCGATGCAAACGCTGCACTGTCAAAGTGCGAACAGGCATGGATTGGATGAGAAGAGGGGTCTGATCATTTAAGTTGAGATGGTGGTGTGTGGGTGTTTTATGTTGTAGGAAGATGATCTTTCTGGCTAGAATCATTATGGTTAGTAAGCTTTGCATTTCTTTATATGTGTTTCATTCATTAATCGGTCCAGGTCAAGAAGCCGTTTTTAGACCTGGATACAATATGCAGTTGCCGTCTCTGTAAAAGACAACACCACATTGGACCTTCCTATAGCAGGTTGGGCAGTTGGCAGACTCTGTGAGCCGCCGGAGGGGTATTTTGAGTTCAGGGCAGGTGTGGGTACAACATGCGAACCGGACGGATGGGTTCCATGCGGCGCGGGACACCGCCGCGGTGTCCGCCGCGGTCCGGCATCGGAGCTTACGCCAACGTATTACGCCCTTCTCCACAGTGTTTGGGAGATCGGAGATGGTGCGTGGGAGATCATCCAGTTCCACACAGTCAGTGGCGTAAGACTTGAGGTGGTGCAGGAACTGGATTCCTTCCGTTTCGTTGAGCGAAGAATCCCAGTGCGAGGGGATCATGGAGAATCGAGTGATCCGGCAACGAGTGGTTTCCGGACCCGGTGACACGGCCGTTGGAACTGCGAGAGCCAATGGAACTCAACCTGTGAAGGATATTGGACCGATATAGACATGTGTTCTTCTTTTCACTAAGTTTGTTGAAGGATTGCGGGCTGGGGTGTTGACATGGGCTGACCTACTACCCAAACATGAATCTTCTGCTAGCAAGAGGAGTAGCATAATGAAAGGACTGCACACTTGCAGAAGACCCTCACCTTGACAGCAGGTGGAGAAGATCTCCATTGCCAGTGGCGCTGCAGAGCCTCCGACCTCAGATGATGTTGTGTTTCGCGATGCGCAGGAGCGTTTCAGAGAGGGTCCTATAGGTGAAGCCATGTGAAGCCCCTAAGTTGCAAGATTCACTTCAGTGAGAGGAAAAGGCTTTTTGGTGATTCGAATCTTTCACAAAGTCCTTGTGGCTTCACCATTGTTTTGATAGGAGGAAGGCTTTGTTCGGTATGACAGGAACGGACTTCACTCAATAAACTAAACAGCCATTTACAAATTTGAACCAGGTGAAAGGTTATGACCGGGTGCATGGTGATGGTTTAACATGTGTTTCGACCAGGTGTTTGACTTGGCCATCTGACTGCATTGAGACTTTCGAACCCTTGCTTCCGAGTGGAATCTATCACAAGTTTATCAGGAAGTAGCAAGGACGCTACTAGTAACAAGGGTCCTTACTACTATTAGCAATGATGCTACTAGTAGCTCCTGGCATTACTACTAGGCACAAGAAGCTACTAGTAACAAGGGCATTTCTATACTAGGAGCAAGGACGCTGCTAGTAGCTCCTGGAATGCTCAAGAGAAGATCGCTTCAGACCGTCAGTTTTCGGTGAAGATCGTCAGCTTTACCAAGGACAATTGAAGCCCAAGATGTTTACCCGCACCCATGAACATCATCCACAAAACACATAGAGTGGAACAAAGCTCACCAGATTGAGTATTCCCAACCGAATGGGATGTGAACATCATCATGATCTGCTTAGTCGCCCAGGCACCGTGCCCTTTTTTCGTGAGGTCCTGCTGTGCCGCACATGGGCGACAGCCGGATCTGAGGTGCGAATATCGACGGGTCTTCTACACCTGCATGCTACAAGAGGGGCGGTGGCCTTGGACACCCTTACCACAGGTGGTCCGAAGCGGTAAAGAGGGCGCACGGTATTCTTGGTAAGAGAGATGATTCTTAACAATAGCTCAATTGTTCCGTGAGTAGAGATCATGTGTGACTTCCCTCAGAGAATCATGAAGAGCATGGACTTACAGTCCATCAGAATATATGGTTGCTTCCGGGCAGCAGAACCCTTGTGTTTCAAGGGTTTATAGGTTTAGAAAGCAGTTGTTCCATTCTTCAAGTCCCAGGTCCCACGGGACACGGGACGTGGGCAGCACAATATCTATTTGTTACCCGATGTCTAGTAAACATAGGGTCAAACATAGAATTGTCTTCTAGCAAATGGGCCAGAGGTTTCTATACTTTCATAGGGTTTCTAGCAAACATAGGGTTTCTTTGAACCAGATCATTTCTACGTTTGTCGTGCCTCGGTTTACACTTACTTTCTCTCAGCTCACGGAAACGCCACTTCGCGGATAGGAACCCAGCTCCTGACTCTGAGGTGCTATTACAACCCAGCCTGCAATGATGGTTTCACCGCCGTCCTCGCCTGAGGAACCGCAAAAACAGTACTATGATACACGATGTTGTTTGTCTTGCAAAAACAACCACGTTGCACTAAACAACATGTACTGCATTGTGGTTGCTCAGCCATCGCTTCAGTTCATCGCTGCAGTTCTTCACCCCCCGTCCGATACCCATCCAATCACTCCCCAGGTGCATTGCTCCGAGCTTTGCGCGGCGGAGCCCCTCTTAGCCACTTGCGTGGAGACGCCAAATCGACCAGCACCGCAGGCCGTTCGTTTCGCTTTTTTCGGTCGGTTTGGGTTTCGAGCTGTGGGAACAGCCCGATTTCTTGAAGGCGAAGGAGTTACTCCATGGAAAGACGAGAAGGGAGTTTTATCGCTGCACCACGTTGTTTGGCGCCTCAAGCGGACGCACTGGCCGGCCATCGGACCACGATTTGATCAGTCCTTTGACGTTCAGATGTCGTTTCTTGGTGAAGCAAAGCTTCACCAAGTCTCTGCGGCTTGACGCAGGGACTTCGCTCTGCGAAGAAGACCCAACTCTCGTGGTCCACCCGATGCAAAATTGCCTACAGTGTCGGGCGTCCTGTGGCAGGACTATCATCTTTGTCCACATCTTCCGAAGGCAGGGGTGCAAGTCAAGGTGAATAATGGTGAATATGTATTCGGTGAATTCTATATATAGTGTATGCATATATTTGTGATATGTGTATGACATATGTGCTTTCCAGTCGGAAATACCGTATTGTTCGGGCTGGAAAGCCTATTGTGCATAGCGGCGTCTACGATGAGAAGGCCAATGCACGCAACAATTTCACTGTTCAATTTGAATATCAAATCCAATTCGTCAGCATGGGAGTGGAACCCTTGTTTGTAAGGAAAACAGCCTTCCAAGTTCCATGTGATGTGTTCGTCAGGACATTATAGGTGGGAAGCCTTTCCACCTTCGAGCGAGTTTTGAAGAACAACAAACATTCTATTCTCTTTAAGTGCAATTGGGGATGAGCATAGGGACAAATTACGCAGGGCCCAAACCTATATCATTGCTCTCGCCATCCTATGTTCCGACCTAGGGAAGATTTGATACATAGAGATTATACAGATCATGCCCCACCTCGTCCGGATCTGAGTGACTCCATAGAAAGCGTACAATGGTGTGATCTTGTTGGACATCAAGCCACCTCCTCCTATCACTCGGGCGGCCCATCGGTCGATTGGGCCCAACGCACCTGGTCGGTGACACCTGGCTTTGAGAGGAAAAGGATGGAAAAGGCGATATCTATAAGGGTACCAGGTAGGGGGTGGGGGGTCCAGATGGTTCCCAAATTCTTCAGCTTCCGAACGTCCGAATCGATTGATGCAGGACTTGGTTACCACTGCGCCACCAACCTTAGAGGATTTCTTGGCGGCCCCTGCACTGCCCTACACCTTCACCGTCCGGAGCGCCTGGCTGCAGGGGCCGAAAGAGAGTTCAGTGGGTTTGCCCTAGCAAACTCAGAACTGGGTTTGTCAGATGTGATGCACCAGCCCAAACTGAGAGTGTGTCGGCATGGATTGATCAACTTACTTTTTTTGATCAAGGGTTTTGTTGGTTTTGTCAACTGCTCGTTGGTTGGAGGCATTTGTTTAGCGCGTTTTGTGGCCGCCTGCACAGCCTGTCGGCCGGTGTATGGCTGACGTTCCGGTGAAGGTCCAACATGGCCAGGGATAGCCAAGGTAGAGTGTAGAAGATGCCAACCATTTCCATGTTTTCTTTTGAGTGTATACAGCATTCCAATTCAAGGACCACCCCAGATGTTCTTTTGGGACCCTAATTCGATTTGATTGTTGCGGGAATAATAGCATTTTGGAGTTCATTTTGTTTGACTCATGAAGCAATATAGGCCGCACTGCCACAGCCGCTTCCTTCCCGCAGCTTCAGCCGCTCGATCGCCCTCCCGAGCGCGAGCCGCAGCACCGCTGCGCAGCCCTTCGCGGTGCGGTCAGGGGAGGTTGCTGGATCTTTCGAGTGTCGAATGAGAAAAGGAGTTGAAGAGCATGGCCAAATGCAATTGTTTTGGCTGTGCTCCTTCTTTTTGATTTTTTGTCGCTGCACACAAAGGAGACCATTATGGGAGCGAGTGGTTGGTTTTGGATGCATCGGTAAATGATTTGCCCTGACAACCAAGTTCGATGATGACACGATTCCTCATTTCCCAATGGGTATTGCTTTCGAGCCAGCTGAATCAGTCAAATTGTTTTCTATAGAAATGGAAGTTGCTGCTACAATCATCCAGACTTAGACGAAGTCACCGAAAAAGGGCAACACAAAAATCCATGATACACTCGGAGAGCGCATGGGTTTGCAGAGAAACACCGGATTTGCGCTTCTTCAGCCGGTCTTAGTACACCCGGCATAGACGGGTGGTCGTCCCGGCATAAACGTGTCGTCCAGGGTCAAAGCGAGTTCTTTTTCAGGGAATGGCATTGGTGTGAATAATTAGACCCCCAAATAGAGAGAAAGGATGAGAAATGTAACATCCCTTTCAACATGTATTGGACACCGTGTCAATATCTATTTTGGGAACCACTCTAAAACCTTACTTGCCTTTGATTGATGATCCCGTCTGAAGGAGAAGACTGATCATCTGATCGTTCCTGGCCCGGGGGTCGGCGGCTTCGGCGCAGGTCCATGGCAGCGAATTCCCTTCGGGGCGGTAAGAATGTCTATGGACCTCATTGCTTGCAGTCACTTGGACAGAGTGCTTGAGCAAAGCGAGTGCAGGACTAGAGAGTAAAGGACCCAGCGAAGTCTCAGAGTCATGGGGAGTAGAGAATACAATGAGAATACAGTTTGGATTTTGTTTGGTTTGCATGGTTCGTTTGCAAGACAGGATCTCTGCAGGACCTGAAATATCCTCAATGTTTGTTCGGCATTTGCAAGTCAATGGTAAACCGTAAAACCCTTGTGGTGTCCGAAATGGACTCACTCACATGTTGCCTTTAGGAATAGCTCTGTGTGTGTGCGTTCCCATGTTGACAACGAGCAGGCACCAAGCGTTGATACGGACAAACACATCAGTGTCAACCCTTAAGGCTAGGGTGATCACAGTCTTCTTAAAAGATGATGCATGATGATGTTTGGATGCCTAATTTATTGCAGAGAGGTCTTCATTCAGAGAACAACCTCCCAAATGTAACAAGCTGCTTTGTTGTTGATATGTTTGGCATGAAGACAGTAAAAGCAAAGCTGGAATGTTTTGGTGATGGAAATGAACAAACACATTCAGCTTGGAGTCCCCTACTACTGGAAGGCGACAAACTCCTTTACGCGGAGAATTAGCCCGCAACCTCTTGGCCTGGACAAATAGCTGTAGCTACCTAACTCATGGATCCATGTTGGTTTCAACAGCAAGAGATGTGTAACAATTCACGGATTCCATGTGAGTTTGTGTTTGAGTGACCCCCAATTGGCTTGAGTCTATGTGGTCGGTCTATGTGTCCTCTTCCAGGATGCCTCTGGGAGGTTACCCTTCCAAGACACACTCATGTGGTGGTTTGACAAGTTTGACCCCTGACCGCTGATCTGACTGCTTCAATCGGAACGGCTTTTCCCCGGGATTTCTCCCATTTCCGTCTTTTGAGGAGACACGTGAAGCAGGAAGAAAACCCCCGGAACCGACGTACTCCATGTGACCCGCTCCGAACGTCTGGGACGTGGGACGGCGGAGTTTCCGTCGAAAGTAGGAGTTGCAGTTGACAAACATCAAAACACCCGTTGACGAGTGGAAACTGGGAGCTGGGTTCAGGTCTTGCTTTAGTTGGTCCAAGGATTTCATCGCACCCTGCCCAGGAGCAACTGGTTCGAGGAGCGCTTGGAGCCTGTGAAGCATCAGGTGGCGGGTTTGTTTCAGACGCACACGGCTGAGACACCAAGTGTGACATGAAGGGAAGTCTTGGGTGGCTAGAATTGTTATGAGTTATAATCTGTGCATTCTGGAGGAACGCGTTGTTTAGGTTTATATAGTATTTGTTTGTGTTTTAAATTGTTCTGCCATCCACACTTGGGTGCTTTTGTTTCCTCTTTCACCTTGCACACCTTGCAAGTGATGGCTCCACCATCCCAGGTTCAACATCAAATTGTTTTGCATTGGTTAGGACTTGTTGGCCATATTTTGCTGGCAAAAGATGTTTCAATAGTAGGGCGGGTTCTCTTTGACCATGTGACCATATATGAGTAACTCAAATGAATTCCAGTGTTTTTTTTTTTCCAGGCAGCTCTTGAGAAACTTCATCAACTTCCTGCTGCTTCAGCAAAGACCTGGACAAAGACCTCAGAGTCTTACGGCGAGCAGTTCAAGGTGGGCATGCTTCAGCGACACTCACGAGCTTTCCAAACGGTTCGGTGCGACCAGCTAACTGCCTCAGGTCGTCAACTGCCTGTGTGACAGAGGGACTGGACATGGACTGGACCATGGATGTGTCAGGTTTCGACAGGCTCGAAGCCGCAGAATATCCAAGGAATTCCGAACATGTCGTTGGAACGTCTCGAAACCGCAGAGACTTCTCGTGGAATTTTGACATGGTTCTTCACATGTCACATGTCCCTCCCCCATGTGAACATGTTTGTCAGGGCTTGCACCTTGGATTGGCGAGTCGACCGTCGCAGGAGGTCATGGACAAGAAGGGCCCCGCCTTGGAATCCGCCCGAACCTCAAACGTCGACGGACCAAACTCCCTCAACCTTGGGGGACCAAGTTGATCCGGACGTTATGAAAGGACCAAATGACGGAGTATTTAAAAACAAACACAACACATGTAAGAAATTAGTATTCGCATGAGTATTCATGCCATAGGGAAAGGTAGAGGGGTTTTTACACAACATCGAATGAAAGCAAATGGAATGACGATTCTTAAATTGTTCTACTATTTGTGAGAGTGAGGACTGTAAGGCATAGATGAACGCGAAAGTTCCCCACAATCAGGGAGCCTGATTACGTATTGGAGGCTCACGTGGGGTTTAACGGGTGAGCCTTCGGTTGGTGAAAGTCTGAGATGAAACTGGCGGTTCGTTCCTTTTGTGTTGTCTGGATATTCTTTGTTATCGTGTCGAATCCTAAGGGATAGAAGGGTTTGCAGGCTTACTTTGCAGCACCATTTTCTTACTTACACCAAGAGACTTTCTTTCACCGCTCCAAGACCAAATTTAGTAGTAGGTTCTCTAATTTGTTTGGTCATGCATTCTTAAGTAGGTGGGCAGGTTGATGCACAACCCGCACAGGGGACTTCGGCATCTGACTTCGGACAAACCGAGGCAAGCTGGCTTAGCTACATGAAGACTGACGCGGCAGACATGTGACCGAAACGGACAAAGCATGGAGTCTGTGCAGACATATTGTTTTTTGATCGGTATGGTTCAATTAGAAGGAACACACATATACACATAGCTCATCAGAGCTCTATGACTATGTTCGAAACTCTCTTTTGATGCTAAATAGAAAGGAACGGACAGGATGTTGACGAGTTCAGAATCCAAGATCCACTGAGGAAGCTAGTTATACCTGTTGGTGGACACCTTTGTTGGGCCAATACAAGCACGTTATACCTGTTTTAGGCTAAAGAGCTACTTCACCAATCGTGGGAGGCTAGTGTGAACCAGATTTCAACCAGTTTAAGGATGTACTAAGTTACTAGCAGCAAGAAGCTAGTAGGTTGGAGGACATCGCTAGTAGGTTGGAGGCCATTGCTACTAGTAACAAGAAGCTACTAGCTTCCTTCCATCCGCTGTGGTCATGTCACGTGCGGTACGTTAGAGTTTGAGCCAACAAGCCTGATTGCCATTGCAAACTATCCCTGCCGGACGATTAGGGCGTGTTCCGTCCAAAATTTGTCAAGAACTTGTTGGTCAATCTCAAAAGAAGGTTTCCATCGTTGGTATGTTGAAGATCCAATTTGAGTCCGTCCCCCGCGCAAGCGCGCGCCCCGGCCTTGAGCCCCCGCGATGTGCTCCCATCCAGGTACGCTTCGACTCATGTGAAGTCCTTCCAGTTGGAAGCTGAGGACTTGCTCGGGCCATTGTGACCACATGATTTTCGGACCATTGTTGAGACAAAACAATTTATATAGGCGTGAACCTTTCGTTGGCATTGTACTGTTGGGATCGTGTACTGACACAGAGAGAGAGAGAGAGAGGGAGAGAGTGTGTGTGTGTGTGTTAACGTTGGAGGTTCTACCCCAAACACACTTAGACATGCTGCACATGCCTCGACTGAGGCATCCGGGCCTCATGGTTGACTCAAGTGAGCTGAAATTGCCGATGACAGTGGAGCAGCTTGAGAAGCAGCTGGGCAGAAGAGGGAGCTGCAAAGAAGCTGCAGCAATCAACCTCACAGAGGAAGTCGCCACAAAAGTCCTGGCAGTTTCTTCGTTTTGGAACTGTTTCACCAAGAGGGTCCAAACCTTGGCACCCCAAAAAACGCCAAACAAAGTCTTTTCGGGTCTTTTTGGTATGCATGTCCGTCGATGCCTTGCTTCTCTCCCGGCTGGGATGGTATGCATGCTCAAGTCAACCATCCCGGCTGGGGGCCAACGGTTGCTCGTGCCGGCGCTCGTGCCAACGACCTAGGTACCGGGAAACCTGGACCAAAGGAGATGCAGTCGCTTGGCGGACGAAGGGACCTGGACGAGCGGGCAATTTCTTCTGGATCGATTACATCGGAGTTGTGTTTCTGATATGTGTCTTATCCCTAGAGCTCCAAGTACCTCCCTAAACACCTTCTCAGAAGGTACTTGGAGCCCTAGGGATAATGTCCAAGTGTCCAACTGTCCAACTCTATGTCTCATGGCACGCCGCCAGGGTTCTCCGCATCTCCGTGGTTCCACGCATCTCCTCTTCACCGGGTTCTTCGCCCAAGGATCGTTTTCAACGAGGTTGACTGGACCAAAGAGACGGTCGAAAAGGAGAGGCGGACACGTCCGTCCGTCCGTCCGTCGCCTGCCGGTCGGAGCGCAGGTTGAGACCGCTCCCCGCCCCGGCGGTCTCGACACTCACAGGGCGGGCTCGCGCTAGCCAACTGCAGCACCACCCAAAAAGGATAGTTTTATTGGGTAGTCACATTGGTGTTTACAAGCCACCCAATAGGTGCCGGTATATTAATATATTTATATTCAATATTGTTTCTTGATCTGGCCAGTTTCTGGATCTCATTTCAACACCACGGAGAAAGACTCCCGTGCGCGTCAGGCATGCCGTTGTTGGAGCTCCCCTTGCCGTAGTTGCATTCGCGTAGCTCTAGGAATTCGTGAGAAGCCGCAATGCAGGATGGGGCAGCTTAGTTGGCTTGTGGAGCTATCTAATTCAAGTCAAGATAATTTGGGACAAAAACAAGTTGAACAAAGGATTTGGGCATTGGGATGGACCAATTGGTTCGGTATCTCAAACCTTCCCAGAGGCGTGCCCCTTCATCCGCAGGTTAACATTACAGTTAGAACAAGGGGGTTCCGCATAGGTCTTTGTTCACGCAGGAGTTGTCCATCATGAAGAGTTCCAAACCTTCAAGTTGTATTTATTCCTTACGTTTGTCCCCCAAGCTGTATTTGGACGGACCGCGTTCTGGATGAAGCTTGGCTGAGAATTCTCAGCCATCCCTGATGTCCAATTCCTGTGGCTCAGAATGAATCAAGAAATTTCTAAGTTCATTTTTGGAAGCCAACAGAATGAACTTAGAAACTGAATGACCTTGCAGAACATTACCTTGCAAAAAGTTCATTTTACAGAATGACCTTGCAGACAGCATGAGGTAGAGGCTTCTGGGCACAAAATGGGGCGCATGGGTCAGCGGGCTCTTTGGGTGCAACCTGTCGTTTGTGTTGGAACCTTGAGCCGAAGCTGGCCATGAGACGAATCTTTCCTCAGCAACGGGGGCTTTAAGGCAATGGATTTGGGACCCAACAAGTATCAGCAATGAGTGAACGAGCCAGCATTGTTCTGAGAAACCGAAGGTCGGGAGTGTTGGGCCTCATCCTTTGTCTTCACATGGTCCGGAAACGTGGTGTGGGACTTAAATCAATGGGATGAACTGATGAACTCGGATGCACTGATAATGAGTTGCTTCTTGGCTTCGTAGCCCTACCCTGAGAGTGGAGATGCTCACAGTTAGCCCTGAAAGAAAAACACCTGCATCCCCACCACCTGAATCAAGATGTTTGTCTTTCTCCCAACAGTCAAAGCAAAGAGATTGGGGAGTTTCTCCACTTGTTGGCGCTCACAGTTTCGCATCAGTCTTGCACCTTGCAAGATTCAAAGAGTTTCACCGTGGTGCAGTGGCTCTTCTGTCGCTGCGTAGAACCTATGGTATGGCCTGCTTTTTGCCAGTTCAAAAAAGTATTTGCTCTCTTGGAAACCACTGTGTTGATGGTGCAAGTGAGCTTCCAATGTATTAGTCAATGAACCTACTTCTGAATGTGCTGGAAGAGAGCAGCCTTGCTGTGAATGCCGCTGAAGAGTCAGTGTTACAGCTTTGGCAAAACACAACATATCTGAAGAAGCTATATACACACACACAAATAATTGTTGTGTACCCCAGAAGAAGGTGGCTATTTGCTGATCATAATAACACTGGAAGTTAGTCACCAGGAGCGGCTTTGCTAGTGACTTCAGTGACTTCATACTCGACAGTAAGCGGATCATAAGCTTCCCAAGAAGGAAGCACAGAAGCAGAAGATTGATCTTCAAATAGAGCCTTAATTTCAAAGTGATTTAGAATGATTCAGATCATGTGGCTTTGCGCACACACACACACAAAAGCAATGTTGTTGCATGGTAGCAATCAGCAAACCAGACAGACAGGTAAAACCTGTGGTTTGTTTAGATCCTGTACATATAAGCTAATACCTTGAGAACTCATGTTTTTGTTCCACTCATATGCGGGGCAGATATCAGATATCCTTCATTTCTTCAGAATGTAACACACCGCCTCAGGTTTGGATCTCCTTCAGAGCAGTGGAAAGTCCAAGCCTCAGCGATGGTCTGGATCATCCAATAGATGTTGTCGTGTTCAGCAGGCAGAGAGCCGCTACGATATGCAGCACCTGTTTGATGAAGGAAACGTTTTGTTACGCTGCTTGGACACAGACGCGCAACGCCATACAACACTCAAAAGCTTATGCAAATCAGAATGGAACGCAGTGTATAATCTCACCACCCAGTCACTGCCTCACCGCCTCGCACGCCGAGCGGCAAGCTCGCTGGAGGCGCCGACCCTGCCAGCCTCTTGCCAGCCTTGCTACCAGCTGCAATCGGGAAATCTCTCGGGAGGCGCTGAATATGCCTCAGGGAGAGGGGAGCGTGATTCTGCTTTCCAGTCTAAGTCTTGACTGTTGTCCCAGCGAAGTATGTGGTTTGAACGGTGCACGTTAATATTTTTCCTCCAAGCCACTGTGACACTGATCGCAAAGTTACTTCTTCCCACAGAAACGCCCGACTTTATGTCAACAAAACATGTGGCTTTTCCACTAATGACATATAAGTACATGTGTCCAATGTTCACCAATTCAGTGAAAGTGTCCGATGTTTTCTTCAAACAGATGGAATGTCATACAACTTGTGAATTCATATGCATGCTTTAGAGAGCAGAATATCTTGTGGTTTTGCTCAAGAATTTATATTAATTTATATTTTGCACGAAAGCTAAGCAAGAGTTTAGTATAAAGATGATCTTTTTATAGATGACATAAGGTCAGTCAGTCAGGTCAGTGAATTTTGGATGACCAGGACCTTTATATTTCTTCTGAGGCATCAACATTGACATCCCAGTTTGGAAGGTGAGGGCAAAAGGGTGGATCAAGACGCGCAACCCACGACCCAAAGCAAGGATGAAAGTCATGAAGGTCACCCGTTCGCTGCATCCCATCTGTTTGGAACCTCTCGTTTGCTGGACGAAAAGGGCGCGCGAAACGATCCATCGCCGGGGTTCCCGGATCCTTTGGCGTCGCAGCGGCACAGTTTCTTCCAGCTGGATCCTTTGGCGGTGGTCGTGCAGGAGATGAGTCACAGCAAGGCGTATATCGCATGGGATTGTGGTGTCTAACATTGCGACGGACTTGCCGTTGCAACGGTCTACGTCTGACGGAGTGTCGAACTATGATGGACTTGCCGGTCGTGTGGACTTTGCCGTCTTGCCGGAGTGTCAGAAGCAAAACTGAGGTTGTATCGTCCTTCGAACTGATTCCGGAACCGATTCCTGGACTGAAAAACAGCAACCCACTCACAAACCGACCGGACCGTGCTTTCGCGATGTTCACCGATCGAAGCATCCACGCCACACGCCCCCCCTTAGCTGACAGCCAAGAGTTTGTTGCCGTGGATGCTGCAACCCCCTCAGGCCTTTGGAGGGCCCCCGCCCCTGGGCCCCTCAGGGCCAGAGAACCTTGTTTGTGATCTTCCTGCACTGACAGCTTAGTCACGAACAAAGTCGGATTCAGAAACTGCACTGTATTCAGAAACTAGTCTTCAGAAACTAGTTCGTTGTATTCGGAAACTATTTCGTTGTATTCAGAAACTCTTGTATTCAGAAACTATTTCGTCGTATTCAGAAACTCTTTTCGTCGTATTCAGAAACTATTTCGTCGTATTCAGAAACTATTTCATCGTATTCAGAAACTATTTCGTCGTATTCAGAAACTATTTTCGTCGTATTCAGAAACTATTTTCGTCGTATTCAGAAACTATTTTCGTCGTATTCAGAAACTACTGTTCCTCATGCTCAGAAACTTCTATTCCCGAACTAGGGTGCAATGTGAACAATCGCACGCGTGGACAGTTGATGCGTTCTCTTGCATTCAGGGTGGGG